AAGTAGCTTATCCTTCCCAAAGGGAATGCAGCGTATTTGCATTATTCTCCTCGGCAGTTAACCTTTTACATTTCATGCTTATGACATTTCTGTCAGGCACTCTTGTGCTCCAATTAAAGTCAGAGGTCTTTGGACACAGTTCAAGAAGTAGAGTGTCTGGACCGGAGCTTGGTACAGGGCAGTTTGGCTAAGGGAGGTCATGGACAACTGCAAGGCAGCTGGATAGGGAGGAAGAACCCAGGATGTGAATAAGTTGCTGGGAGCACACCTCCTAAGGAGACTCCTTGGGGGGTGTCGCTGTGGGTGTCGGCTATTGGATAGAGGAGAGCAAGGAAAGTGTTACAAGATTTCCAAGCCAGGCTATACATTTGTGCTTGTGGATATTTGGACTGAAAAATCAGTGCACCTGTATCTACAATCAGGCAGTAAATGGTTCAGTGGTCGCAGTAAGAGCAGGGCTTATTTGGGAGGCAAATTGAAACTCTGTTTAAGCAAAGTGACTCAGAAGATGTTCAATAGCCTTCCCCTGGGAACATTTCCTCCCAAGGTATTAATCAGGGCACCAGGCAAAATACTCCAAAATATTGTTCCAAAGCTAAGAATGTAACTCAGAGACAGAAACCATGGAAACCTGCTTATTTTCTGAAATGTTGCCTCTTTTTGGAAGAGAAGACGACAGGATGAATAAGCAGATAGGCTTTACTTAAAGGTTATGCATGAGTCAGGGTACCCTCTGAATGTCTTTAATATGTGAAATACCCAGGTAAATGTCTACATAAAGTGGTACCTATAAGAGTGAAATTATAGCATAGATTGGAAATATAAAAATGCCCTAGAAGTATAGAGTTTACAGAATTTAACATTTGTAAAGAATTTCTGTAGGATCTGAGGCACAGTTTTATTTTTATGATTAGGACTTTTAATTAGGTCTAAAATCCTGGCTCTTTACATTAGCTGTAGACTTGTGTAACTTAACAGCCTCTGTAAGCCTCAATTTTTTCCCATCTATTAAATGTTACGCACCTAATAGGGTAGTTGTGAGAATTCAATGAAATAACATATATGAAATGTTTAGCACAATGCCTGGTCCACAGCAAATGTTTCATAAAAATTAACCCCTATGGTAGCATTCTAGCCTTTAAGCCATAAAGAGAAATCATTGATTATTTCCAAATGAAAAGAATCCTCGTCGGTGGATATTCTCAGCTTACTTCAAGAAAACTATTGTTTTTACTAGCATAAAGAAATGAGAGAACTTGGCCAAAAAATAAAAATACCTGGATAAAGATCCATGCAGTGTTGTTCTTTTAATTTAGCCTTTTAGTAGGGACTAGTATTTAATATTTTTTGTACACCTACCATGTGTCAGGCACTCTGTATTCACAGCAGTCCTGTGGAGTGACTGTAACTGTCCCATGTTACAGGCAAGGAAACTGAGACTCAATGAAATAAAAGAACGTGACCAAGCCTATGTACTATGTCAGCAGAACAGGGATTTGAATGCCAGAGGCAACACTGCTTCAGTCCTTTTCACAACGCCTTGGGAGTAAAAAGAAAGAGGTTCATGGGCAAAGTCTGGCCCTGCTATGGACTCCAAGGTAATAGCAACATTTCTATTTTGATGTTCCCATTAAAATCTTATCCTCTAGCTGAGGGGCCTGGCAGAATGGCAAGTGTCACCCTCGAGCAGGCACGTAAGTCAAGTGATAAATCACATTCAGAGTTTGGGTTACTTCGCCTGCTTAGGGAATGTGAGTGGCTCTGCCTAGTTCAACTTCATCAGTTGGCTCAATTGCTACTCAGTGCTAACAGGAAATTGTACTGATTTAGCTGGTAATAAGAGCTTCTCAAGCACCGTGGGTACTTGTTTAGGAGAAAGATTGAATTTAAAAACATGCACCTGATTTTCTTTCAGCAGCTTTACAACCATCTGAGAAGAAAATGTTCCATTATCAGGTAAAGCTGCTTTGGCAACGTGATTTTTATAATGCTGGGCAGTAGGGGAGGCTGCTTAATGCTGATAAGGCATAGATATTTTTTCTCTTCATGTGTTGTTTCGGAACATTCTGTTGCTTGTACGTTTTTAACCAGATAAACATGCCTCTATAGGCCACAAGAAAACAGAATTCTTTATTTTTTTCAAATGCATCTTTTTAGGATCACTCCTTAAACAAAGCAGTTTGCTGATTATTAGAGATACTTGTCTGTGTTAGGCATGTTGCTATTTTTAGAACATTTGCATTTATAGCTCTCTTCGTTTTTAAGCTGGAGAGCACTAAATCTGGCTTGCCTTGAGATCTAAGTTACCCTTTACTGACTCTGTGGCCTTAATTAAGTCACTTAATCTCTCTGCACCTACTTCCTCACTTGTGAAATGGAGGTGTTGATGCTTTCTTTTTAGGATTGCTGTTTTAAATGACTTAGTGTAAGTGCTTTGTAAATTATATAAATTCCTTTAAAAGCGAATCACTACTTTTATTCTATTTAAGGACTAGACTCATTTGGTGTTCACAAAGGAGTATTCACAGATTCATAGCATCATGAAGATCTAAAAGTTGTAGTGAGATGCAAGAAACTGGATAATGAACAAATATGTAATTGGTAATTTACCAAAGAGAGTAGGGGACATGGAAGGTGATCCTAAGTGTGGTTGGAGCTTTTTGGAGAAAGGAGAGAAAAGGAACAGAACATATTTCAAAGATTTTCTATAAGAGAGAATACCTTTTCAGTCCACAGACATTGCTGTGTGCCATCATTTCAAAGGCAGTGTGGGGTAGTCAAATGGGTCAGTCCCTGATCTTCCACTTCCTAGTTGTGTGAATTCCTTAACTTCTTTGAAAGAAGTGAAGGTAGTAATAACTACCCTCACCAGGTCATGAAGATTAAATGGGACAATAAATGTAAAGTGCCTGGTGTATACTATGGCTTATTAAATATCTCTTTCTCTTCCTCTTCCTCTCCCTCCTCCTCTTCCTTTTTAATTTTTGGTTAGGAAGAAGCTCTAACTAGAAGCCACTATCAATACTACTAGAAGCTTACGTGCTTCTCAGAGCATTCAGGCAAGGTTTAAAAGCAATCAGTAGAGTCCTGGTTAATACTCGGATTACTCAAAATGCTGCTCAAGCCTGTTAATGGAGTTTGTGTATATGTAGCCACTTCAATTATCATCAGATGCAGCGAAAGCTGTAGGTGTTCAGTATGTGGAAAGACTCTAAAAGGGGGTTTTGAGGGGAAGCAAGTAGGTGTCTGTGCAATGGGAAAGGTTTGCAGGGATTAAATTTAGGACTCTTTCAGAGATAAGCATTCTGTGTTGTGGAATGAAGAAAGTAATCACCCACTTAAGCCGGACTCTTGGTGAGAAGGTCTTGCTAAGGGATGCCTTGATAAGAATTGAGTTTTTCAAGCTATAGAGTTGACTTATTGGGTTATTTTTAAAATATTTATTATTTGCTATTTAGAAGCACTTCATATCTTTGAGTAAACAACCGAGGGGTTTATAAATGCAAACATTTCAATTCTATAACCTTTTAAGAATTGTTAATTTCAAAAACATCTAGATAAGGATGAGCTGTCAATGATTTTAGCTATTAAATATACAAGTGCATGCAATTAATCAAGTAAAATGGAAATCATTTGTAGAGAGGAAGCCTTTTTTCATGTTGTCAGTTTTAAGCGTAATCAGATCTGTTTGTATAGTGCAGTGAGTATGGACAAAATATGGTCATAGCACAGCTACTAAATACTAAATGTCACCAAAAGATCTGTGTTTCATATCTTTTCTATAGTCCTCACTAAAGGCAATAAATTAAAGTGAGTGAGGTTTTGAAAGTTGCCTACATTCAAAGATGTGTAGACTTTAATTTGTTGTCATGCTTATAACACAAGAAATTCCATCTTTTAAATGTTTTTCCTGTGTAGGTCAGAAAATGATCCTGGCCTTTCCCATATCTGTTTCTTTTGTGCTTTTTCGCATGTGATAATCCTAGTAATCCCATCTTACATTTGAGCTTTCCATTTTTTATGTCCATCACCTTATTTCAAGCCAAGATAATTTTAAAGTATTGCTTCTTATGCCAGCAGTCGCCTGACTGTACTGATCTCACATAATAAGCAGGAAAGGATGTTGAGAAATGAGGTGAACACCTGTGACCAAATCATCAAAGAACCAGAAAAGGGAAACTGTGACTAGAGTATTCCTAGAGAATCTTCTTTTCCAAAATATCACGGTTGTGACTGAGGAGGGCCTGAGAGAGATATGATGGAAGGACAGGATAAACACACCTGCAGACTTGTCACCTGTCCTAAGGTGAGAATAGGGGCTGGGGCTGTAAAGGACTGTTGTTTATGTACCTACCATGTGCCAGGTAGGTGCTGGTAGTTTAGCACATGTATTTTTTAATCTGATCAACAACACTAAAAGGTAGGCATTCCTACCATTCTGGAGGAAACAGTCTCAGAAGTGTAAGTCATCAATATGCATTTAAAAAATAAATCTAGTGTTGCTATACTCAGGTGATATTTACAGTAAAATTTCTATTGTGACCTTCTGGTGTGATTCCCTAGTCTTTTTTAGAAATTCATATGGAAGGCTGGCCGCGGTGGCTTACACCTGTGATCCTAGTACATTGGGAGGCCAAGGCGGGTGCATCACTTTGAGCTCAGGAGTTCTAGACCAGCCTGGGCAACATGGTGAAACCCTGTCTCTACAAAAATATAAAAATTAGCCGAGCATTGGTGGTGGGCACCTGCAGTCCTAGATACTCAAGAGGCTGAGGTTGGAGGATTGCTTGAGCCCTGGGAGCGGAGGTTGCAGTTTGCTAAGATCACACCATTGCACCCCAGCCTAGGCGCCGGTGTGAAAGCCTGCCTTAAAAAAAAAAAAAAGAAATTCAAATGGAAGATCCGATTGTGCCTCTGAAAGTCAGAATGGCATGTCTATGTACAACATGGGACAAAGTCAAAATAAAGGTAGTTGTGGAGTGTCTCAGTGAGGGCCATACCTGAAGATACTTTGTTCTAGAATCTGGATCTGGTGCTGGTCTTGTTGATTTTGCTTCTTCATCTCTTCCTGTTCTTTTCCGCTGCTGATTCCATCTAGAAGCCATTTCTCTCTCAAGGCCTTTTTCTGATGTCAGGAAACATAAAGATATGTTATTACGTTGGTCAGTAGTTTCCAAAATCTCTTACTGTTTTCAAATCTAATGAACTTCAATAGGTGACACGTTAAAGAGGAAGTATTTTCTTTCAGCGTCTTGCCTGAATAAATCTCGTATTGTCTTTCATTGTAGCCTTCTTGATTCTATTCAAAGCCAGTTTGTATGCATCTAAGTCTCATTTATACTTCAAGGTTTAGTTTGGGTCCCTCCTTTGGCATGAAGATCCCTGGCCCCCATACTCCTGGCAGCCCCATCTCGACCCCACTTTCTTCATGCCATACTGTATGTTTATCACAGTCAAAATGGGACCTCATAATATGATGTCTTTAGTGTTATTTGTTATGTATGGGTGCATATCTTGTCTCCTTAACAAAGTCAAAATCATCTTGATGCCATTTTGATATTCCCCTCAGTGGGAGCATACAATCGCTTCAGAAAACTCTTTTGTGGGATTAATTGGAATGGTGGGAAAAACAGAAGTTTGCTGTTGTGCCTTAAACATATTCGGTGTTAGTCTCAGGCTGTGTGGTAGCTGTTTATTGTTTTACTTACTTAACACCCTTTCTTTCTTCTCAGAATCTCCCTGGTTATAGACATGCTTAAGCACAAAATTTACTGATCTGTCTAAACATTGGTGAGTTTTTGTCAACTTTAACAATACACAGCAAATTATATTTCACCATATGGAAAAAACCAAAAATCTCCTCTTGAGTTTGCATGAGGAAATGAAACTCCTGGACCTGGAGTTTAAAGACCTAAGATGACTTAAAACAAATGAAAAAGACCTTTAAGTTTTGTATGGGCTTTAATTAGCATGTAGTCTACATCTCAAGTAGAAAGTGTCAGATATACTGTCATGTTATTTTCAAGGAGCTCAAGTTTCTCTTTTTCTCTTGGAATAAAAGGGCTCTCATTATGTATCTAATCTGCGTCTATAAATTATTTGTTCAGTTATTCATTGTTAATTATTCATTGGGGATTCACTACGTTTAAAATCCGTCATGAAAGAATCAGAACTTTATTTTTTGGGACTTCTTTCTCTTGTATTGAAATTTAATGAGAGCAAGTAAGAATAATTTTGTGTTTTTTTAAGGGATGCTAGAATAAATACCACTGAAATACAAATATCTCTGAATTAAAAACACATTTAAAATTAAGTTTAATTGTGATAGATAATTACCAAAGGATGGGTTTTTTTTTCCCCCTAAGGTAAAGACTTTTAAACCATTTTTTTTTAAAAAAAGAACCCCAATATAACACTATAACTTATAACACTGCAAATAAATGTTATATGGAACTATAGTCTGGAAAACAGATGAATTCAGGACTGCTCTAATTGAAGCAGTGTGGTGACCTGAAGGCTTATGGATGAACAGAACATGGTTTGAAAAACACTAGATTAAGTAAATAGCAACTTCACCCCCAATCATCACATTTGTGTTGGCCTTTTCAGAGTCTTAAGCAATTGCATGTGAATAATATACACCATAAGAGCAATTTGTATTACTGCACTCTGTGGCCAGAGGTTGTTTACCCCAGTGTTATCTTAACCATTGGTTATAGCTGTTAAGCTGTTTGTAAAAATGTTTTCCCGCAGACCCAGTAAATATTATTAACATTGGTCAATATTCAGCTCCTGGGGTCAAAGATGCTAAGAAAATTTGAATATAGCATCATTTTAATAATTTACCTTGATTCTAATTTATTTTTAATTGATGGAATTTTAGCTAATGTATAGAAAAGAAGACAGTAACAACTATAGAAGTAAGTTATACTCCTTACAAAACACCTATAAGGAAAGCTCCAGTCAATTGCATACGTGTCTCTATAAGAAACACTCAGATGGGTGGTTTTATGAGGCTGAATTATAGGGGTTAGAGAATCATTTTTTTGACGTGTTAGGTTAACTTGGGGCTACCTTCTTAATGCTTAGTCTGGTTAGAAATAATTTTAATTTTAGCCTTGTAAAACTTTGTTCATGCTTCATAAATTTTCATTTATTCCTGGCGGAGAACTCACTACCATTGAACTTAAATATAAAATATACAATTTGGATATGCAATCAAAATGATATATTGATACAATCACATATATACTGTAGTAATCAAAATGGTTATTTTGTTTTTATGTCACTGTTTATACTTGTGCTTTAATATATGAGGCTAATGAATATAATAAAATCTACTTAACAATGAAATTCAGAATTGAAAGCCATATTAACTAAATTAAAATATGTGACATGCAGGTGATAGATCTTCCTGCAGTTTTTTTTAGGAAAAGGTTTCCTTGAAGCACTTCTATATCTACCCAGAAGTTACAGTAGACCTGGAATAAAATGTTTTTCATAGACTGAATTGAGTGGACTCACGGAAATCAAACATTTTTCAGATTGAGTGTATTTTGTGTTTCCTTGTAACATGAGATTGTGATCATATTACTAGGCAGGAAGATCCATACAGAGAAAGGTCTCAGAATAGTTTGAATATTAAGATGTAAAAATGTCCCAGAATCTGCCTTGCTAGTGCATCATGGGAATGATCATCAGATTCAGGAGCTAAAGAGAATCAGAGTGAGTTACTACCACTATTTTGAAACGTGTGTATTCTAATATAGGAGGAACACTTTGTAAATGTTTATGCTTATGTTGTTTAATGTGTGTCACTGAAGTATAATGAACTAGTTTGCAGTCAGGAAGGTGGAGACAGTAGTCATGAAAACCAGGACAAATGGAAGAAGAAGAAAATAAGAGACAGACTACAGAGGCCAATAGAGCTTTCCTAACTTGGTGAACACATTGTAGAGTTGTTTTTAAAAATACTTTTGCACATTTTGAACCCTATTTGGGAATTATGCCTTGTTGCTGTTTGGTATAGCCAACTATTTTCTGCAAAACGTAGAATACACTTTACTGAAACAGCCACTCTTTCTTCTCTGTGCCCTGTGCAGTTGGTGCCTCCCATAGAGTGTTTATCACAGAATCAGTGTCATTATGAGTTTACGTATCAGTTACCATTTTAAGGACACAGGCCAAATTTCACTTATTTTATATTCTTAGTGTCCAGTTTGTACCTTGTATATAATAGGTACTTAATAAATATTTGCTGAATAAGGCCCTATGTACATCCATATAAATTCTACTTGATCAATTAAGACTCAGCTTGAAACACATACCTTTAATAGTGCCTTCTTGACCACCCCAGATTAAAGAATACGTATACTGTGGTTTAAATTAAAACAACTATCCTTTATCTTGTTTCTTTAATCTCGAATTTCCTAAATTAGGACAATGTGTCATTTCCCCCAATTCCCAGCCCTGCTGCATGCCACACATACCACTTTTGGCCAGTGAACAGTTTGGGAAAGTGGATAGCACTTTCAGGCAGAGAAAATGGAAACCTTTTGCTCCAGGTATAAGCATACCTGAACCAGAGTGCACTACTGGCAAAGGAATACAGACAGGATTTTGGCACCGTCACTTCAGGTATGTTTGTGCAGTACACACTCTGTGCAACTGTATATGGCAGACCAAAACATGATAAATGTTTTGGTTGAATTGGATTGGAAGAGGTCTCCTGTGTTCTGGAAAGCAAACCAATAAGGAAGATGATGTAGTACTTTCCAGACTGTTTTTGACAAGTGCTGAAATGAGGTGCTACCTCAGAAATGGACCTTTCAGTGAGTCAGGGCTTTCAAGTGAAACTTACAATACTTTCTAGAATGGACTGAGGGGATATTTAAATATTCTCTTTTACTGTGAGCTCCGCTGTTTTGTGGTTACCCATTCTGCAAAGATAGCAATTGCCCATTCTCAAGGATAGCTAGAGAGCTGTCAGTTTACCCAGAAGCAGGAAGTAGTTCATTGGGAGATCTGGATTGTATGAGTAAATTGTGTGCATGTGTGTGTGTGTAAATTGTGCAAGTGTGTGTGTGTGAGAGAGAGAGAGAGGAAAGGAGAACAAATGACCTCTAACTCCTCTTGTTTTGGAGTTAGAAATGGTCCATCTAAAACACTATTCTACATTTGACTGTTGACTTCATTTGAATTGCACTGAAACAACTTGGCACTTTAAAAAAAATTTCATTGATTTTTCTAGTACACACTGCATTTCTTGACTATGTATACTACTCATGTAAATTAAGTTTGACACATTGGAAGGGCAGCAGACTTAGTATGCTTTGAAATTATCCATTAAACATCGGAAATGTCAACTTACTTAGAAGCAAAGAAGCAAACAGAATCCAGAGAGCTGGGGCTAATTGGAATCTTAAATTATGGTTGTTTTTTTTTTTTTTTTCTTTTTTTTCCAGATGTAGATATGTACTTGTTCCATTAAAAAAATGAAGTCAGTTGCATTCGGCAAGTTAATTTAAATTTGTAGACCCTGTGAGTGTGCAGCCTTGTATCATTAAGGAGATTCATTAAATCTATTGATAGCAGCCCTGACAGATAAGTAGTTTCCTGCTTGGGTCTTTTCACAAGGAGCTCCTGTTTGTCATTTGCTTGCATCCTGTCACTAAGCTAAGTAATAAAATGTTAAACTCAATGTGCTTTAATTACAAAGTGACCACACCCAGTGAAAGATGTAAAATCTGATTTTAAACATGGAGAGTTATTTTTGGTTATGATCTCATGTTCTGTCAAAACAAAATAAAACAAAAACCCAAAGCATGCTCAAACAACATTGGGCTCATGGCACTGAGCTTTTAAATACAAGCATCCTCCACCATGCCAGACGCTGTTCTGCACCCTGGGGGAATGGCTGGCCTTTCATTGATTTCAAAAGGAACTTCCTAGCTGGATCCACTCCCTAGGGATGTTAAGCAAGACTGTGAGCAGGGCCAAATTCTCAAGGCTGAATTCTCAAGGTTACTCAAGAAAATTGGGAAACTCAGTAATGAATAATGAAAGTAAGAAAATGATGTTTTCAACTTTGCACATGTTTGCTAGAAGGTATTAATCTCATATGCAAATATTACCAGCTTGTTGGACTCCCCTGTGGTTATTACCATATTAATCAAACGATCTTCGAATTTTTTTTCTTTCCTAAACATTTTTACTATTGAAATTTGAGTACCATTAGAATTTTTGAATACAAAAATCATTGAAATGAAATTAAAGTTATAAGTTACCTTCAAATGCTGGTGCTTTAGTTTGTCTTCCTCTATTTTCAGACGCTTCTGTGAGATTTCTTCCTGTATTTTTCTTTTATCCTGAAATAAAAAAGTTACAACATATTTTATTTTTAAAATTTGCTTAATTATGTTTTCTTAGGGTTGTTGTCACTATCCGAATGGCCCATTAGAGATATTTTCTTGGCATTGGTATGAAGCTGCTTTGGAAACTCCTATTTCAAAGGAAAGGAGAGGAAAGTGAGACATTCAAAGCATTTTGCTTATGGGAAAGAATATGAAAAGGTACTTTTCCAAACAGGGCTTAAACATCCTTCTTCACTCCCCTTTTCTTTCTTGCCCATTAGTCTAGCAAGATTGACCTACTGAGTGATGTAGTAGAACAAATGAATTGTAAGGAGAGAGTTTTGAAATAGACGTGAGGAAACATCGTGAGAAGAGAGAATGGTCCTGGTCCAATGTTGAAGAAACTTCTGGGTGAAAGGACTCCTTATGTGGAAAAACAGGTCGACGGATGAATCATTAGGAAACTAGGAAGCTGGGAAGTGGGACTGTTTCCTCCTCTTGTATAGCCTGCTGTGGGAAGATAGAGGAAAAGAGTTGAGATAGTACTTCTTCTTTTTTTTTTTTTTGAGACGGAGTTTCGCTCTTGTTACCCAGGCTGGAGTGCAATGGCGCGATCTCGGCTCACCGCAACCTCCGCCTCCCGGGTTCAGGCAATTCTCCTGCCTCAGCCTCCTGAGTAGCTGGATTACAGGCACGCGCCACCATGCCCAGCTAATTTTTTGTGTTTTTAGTAGAGACGGGGTTTCACCATGTTGACCAGAATGGTCTCGATCTCTTGACCTCGTGATCCACCCACACTAAAAGGACTTTTAGCTCCCATAAAACAAAACTCATGAAGATATATTATATCTTTCACCAAGTTTAAATTATGTTACCTCAAACAACCCAGAAAGCATAACTACTAATACAAAAATGTTGTGCTTTTAAGAAAATATAGCAAATAATATTAAGTAGACAGCCTGCGTTTGACTTCTGCCTCCTCCGTGTACTAGCTCTGTGTCTTTGGATAAAATCCTTAACTTCTCTGTGCCTCAGTAACCTCATCTGTAAAATGAGGCTGCTGAGAGTACCTACTTGATATATGTAAAAGTTTCTAGAACAGCGCTTGACACAGTGCTCTAGGCATACTTAATAACATTAAATAAATAAATATATAACTTGTTAATCACCTAGAAAGTGACACATTAGATCTGACAGTGCTTGCATTAGCTTGAAATGTTTGAGAGATTCTTTGGAATTGTTAGAGACACTTGACTAGTCATGCAAAAAGGTCTTTATTTCCTCATTTTTTATCAGAGGTGACATTCTTTTCCATCTTATATGTTGGTATTAAATTTGCTTTCAAAATTCAAAACTCCCAAAGGATAAAATATTGTTGCCAATGAAGACATCCAAAAGAAGTAGGCAATTAAGGTAATTTAGAAGAAGGAGTTCAAAAAATATTTTGCAGCATTATTGAGATACGTGCATCGCTTCTTGATGTGACTATTTTGAAGATAAAAACTCTTTTTTGATGTATAAGTTCAGGTACATTTGTTGAAGAAAAGCAACATATTGCTCTCCAAATGTATACTGTGTTTCTCTCTGCATGTAAGAAGAATATATGACTTCATCAGCTTATTATTGCTATTATTATTACTTTTGAGATAAGGTCTCGTTCTGTTGCCCAGGCTGGAGTACAGTGGCACAATCACGGCTCACTGCAGACTTGACCTCCTGGGCTCAAATGATCCTCCCACCTTAGCCTCCTGAGTAGCTGGGACTATAGGCACACACTACAATGCCCGGCTATTTTTTAATGTTTTGTTGAGACTAGGTCTCACTATGTGACTCAGGCTATATCAGTGTACTTTAAAAATTTCGCGTTTGTTTTGAAAAAAGGAAAAAAAAGCTAGGCAACAGGCATGGATCTTGAGAATAACTTCTTTCTTTGGATGAAATCTGGCCATTAGTATCAAAAACTCTGAAAGCCTCTGTGAATCAATTCTTCACTATCTCTAGAGGCTGTTCCTGAGCAAATATTAATTATATTTTAAATTCATTATGCCAAACATTTTGGTAATTATTTTTCAGGCACCATTTTACTTAATACTTATCATAACAAATAGACGCTATGATCATTTCCATTTACAAAGAGGAAATGGAAGTTTAGGGGGAAATTAACTCAGCCAAGTTTTTATAATTGTCAGAGTCAGGATTTGAACCCAGGCAGTCTGAAGTTAGCCTCCACACTCCCAGCCATTTCATGGTGCCATTCTCTGGAGTGGAAAGTTAATCAAGCTAGTCTCAACTTCTGCCTTTGTCTTCTATATCATGAAGTACTGTAGCCTGGAGGCAGCACTAGAACAGCAAGCACTGAATGTGACATCTCATTAGCAGGGAGCACATTTGTAGCTCCCTAGATGCTGGTGCTATAACTAGCTCTCCATGAAGAACCCATAGAGAAGAGCATGTTATGTGTAGTGGACAGGGATTACTGAACCCAGCAATGCCTCCCCACCCCTGCTGATCACCAGTTTGGGCTGGTTTGCCATTTGGGCTAGTTTCATCCTGGGGTTAGTAATCAGGTAATTGAAGCTGTGGGTAGAGGCATGGCATCCGATGTGTTTTGGCAACAACAGGCTTATACAAGGGTTGCTAAGGAATACTAATGTTTTGTTACTCCGAGGTAATATGATGCCTCTCTTATATCGGTCTATGTAGGAAGGAAGGAAATTTCATAATGTTATAGGCATGATCCTTTTTTAAGATAGGTGTACTTTATCCTCATAAGATATTCATCAGCAGAGAGTTTTTGTTCCTTCGTCAAATTTCACTGGACTCTGTTAGCGTTAATGAAAAACAATATGACAATAACTTAGTTTCAGTACAGCAGAATAAACTACACGTCAACCTTAGGTCGTTTATCTAGCTCAGTTGCTAGTGTACCAGAAATTATCAGAGTCAGCTAATTTCTTCCCAGCTTTTCATGGAGTAAATAAATGTGAAATGCCATCTGCTTCCCCAAATTTCCCCAGAACCTGGAGCACCTCTATAGATAGCTGTTGCAACCTGGCACATCAGACGTCACTGGTTATTAATGTAAGCGTTATGAATAACATATTGTTGCTTATTTCTCAATGTTCAACTACCTTGACTTTTTGTTCAATAGATTTTGCCTAGATTTTTAGCTGTGAAAGCCTATTTTAGCAACTGACACCCACAAATTTCAGTCCGTAAAAGGTTATCTCTGAATTATTTTGAAAATTAATTTATTCACCTTGTACAACTATAAAGTTATTGTGACTATTAATATGATCCAATGATATTACCATAATCACATATTTGATAAAAGTAAGCACAATGATTAAGAGTGTAAATATTTTAGATATATCATTAACAATGAGCTAAATTCTAATATGCCTAATCTTGTCAAGAAGGCAGAATTGATCCTGAGTTGATTATTGATTTATTCAATACTTAGCTACTTATGTACAAATGCTATATTCAAGATGACATTAGGAGTTTTGCAGGGTTTTAAAATTATTTGGTAGATGTGCGTTTACATTCTTATTTTTTGAGACAGCATCTCGCTCTGTCACCAAGGCTGGAGTGCAGTAGCATAATCATAGCTCACTGAAGCTTCAGTTTCCTAGGTTCAAGTCATTCTCCTGCCTCAGCCTTCTAAGTAGCTAGGCCTACAGGTGTATATCACCACACCTGGCTATGTTTTATTTTATTTTATTTTTAAGAGAGACAAGACCTTTCTGTGTTGCCCAGGCTGGTCTCAAACTCCTGAGCTGAAGCAATCCTCCCACCTTGGCTAAAGAAAATCATTTGTGCAAGTAACTGTAGTCTAGAAAATAAAGTTATGACATGTAATAGCTTTTTTTAAAAATTTTTTTGAGACAGAGTCTTGCTCCATCATCTAGGGTGGAGTGCACTGGCACAATCTTGACTCACTGCAACCTCTGCCTCCTAGTCTCAAGTGATTCTTGTGCCTAAGCCTCCTGAGCAGGTAAGATGACAGGCATGCCCCACCATGCATGGGTAATTTTTGTATTTTTATTAGAGATGGAGTTTTGCCGTGTTGGCCAGGCTGGTTTTGAAATCCTGGCATCAGGTGATCCACTCTAAAGTGTTGGATTATAAACATGAGCCACCGCACTGGCCAAAATGTAGTAACTTTAGTAGTAACACATGTTATCACTAAGGCACTAGTAAGGTACAATGCAGGTTGAGGGGAGACAGGAGGAGGTTGTTCCTAGCTGATGTCATAAAGAGAGGTTTTGGTGTAACATCTGAGTGGAATATTTTGGGTAGTTACAGTGGGGCTGGAGAGTAGGGGGAAACAGCATTCAAGTCAAGGGCTTGATGTGAGCAAAGGCCTGGAACCAGAACACTGGGAAATTATTTAGAACAGCAAGTCTGGAATCTAACTTACCATATATGGAGTAGCAGGAAATTAAGAAAAACCAGATGAGGATAGATTCTCAGTAGTGAATACTGAATGGCATGACAAAGAGTTCTGAATTTATTTATATATTAAGATAAGGAGCAATAAAAAGTTTTCAGGGGAAGAAGAATGATAGGGTTAAAACACGTTTTAAGAAGTTGAATGTAGCCTCATTGTATAGTAGCTATGGAAGGGAGAGAAAATGAAGAGGATAATCAGTTAGGCCACCGTACAACTCATGCATATGGCCATGAGAGCTTGAATGAGAAGTAGCAGAGGGCTTGGATGTCAGTTAGCAAGGAGTTAGAACTGCCAGAACTTGGCAACTGATGACATAGAGTTGAGGAAAAGGAAAGTGTCAAATGGAATGCAAGGCTCTTATGCTTAGGTAACTGATGATAGCAGAATGATGCATAGAAATAGGAGTATCAGGAGAAGGAAGATTTTGGGAAAAAAGATGATGGATTCACCAAGTTGGAGGTGTCCTTGGGCCAAATAGTTAGAATAATCTGCTAGGCAGTTGGAATGTTGGGGGGAGAGAGATGAAGAATCAGAGCTAAAGATAAAGATGTGGGAGTTT